GTTCAGGAAAAGTGAAGAACAAAGGATTTCATAAAGAAAACAAACTACTTTTGATAAGATGAAATCAAGAGCACTTGTATATGAAAAAAGGAGAAGATGATGATAAAATAACTAATGCATTAAAAATTTTTATATTTTAGTACACTTAGTAAACTTGGATGATATTTGAATTGAACTAAAAATAGAAGAACTTTTAATAATATGCAAAAAAAAAAAAAAAAAGTTTTATTGTTTTGGTTTTTTGAAATTGTTTTCTCAACAAACTTTCTATTCCAAATCCAAACAAGCTAATCTACTATCTTTATATTTATTGCATAAATAAAAGAGTCTTATGTTAACCTGTTAAATTCTGGTTTTAAAAAACTGTCAGGCCATAGGTCTTACTAAAAAAAAGTCTTATCAAAAATCAACATAAAAAATGTCATAATTTTATTTACTGTTTTAAAAAGTTTTCTTTTATAATGTTGAATGATTTATGCATGTATAAAGCTTAATTATGCATGTAAAGGGATTAACTATGCATGTATAATTAGAAATTTTATAATTAAAATATTTCGTTTTAGTAAAAAGACTTTAATTTGTCCAAAATGTCAATTATCAAACTTGAAAGTACCAGTGTTATTTTTTGATACTTTATAAATATTATCATTTTATTTAATAATTTTATTTATCAACGCGGATAAAAGCTTAAAATAAAAACAATTTTTTTTTTGTTTTATTTTTTTATAATTCTTAAAGTTTTTGTTATTGCTAATTGTTGAGATGTTTATTTGGTAATAAAAATAAAGCAATAGTATATTTGCTAATAAAAATAAAACAATAGTAATACCTTTTCATTTTTTATGTTTATTAATTTTTATTATTGTTTGTTAATAGTTTTTAATAATTAGTAAAACGTTGATAAAGCATAAAATAAAAATAATTTTTATTTTTTTTATTTTTTTATAATTTAAAATTTTTTTGTTATTGTTAATTATCTAGGTGTTTATTTGCTAATAAAAATAAAACAATAGTAATACTTTTTTTATTTCTAAGTTTTATTAATTTTTATTATTGTTTTTATTTTAGTTTTTTATTCAGAAAGAATTAATAAAGTATTTGAAAAAAAATAATTTTAATATTTAAAGTTTTAAATAAATAAATTATTTTAAATAGCAATATTCTGAAAATTACTTTGTCTTATTCAAAGTTTACAATACTTAAAGAATTTTTTGTGGTAATGGAAGTGGAAAAAAGTGGTAATGTGGTTCCACAGCTGAAGAAATCTGGAGATTTTTTTATAGATAAAACTAATAAAGAAGAGGTAACTAGTTTGTTTTAAATTAGTTTGTTATTCATTTTTTGCTGATTTTATTGTTCAAGTTTTTCACTGGAAATAAAGTCACTTTATTTTTCTTAGTAATATATATTTACATCTTATATTTGTAATTATTTTATTTTTTATTTCTCCCATTTTAAATTTAAGCAGGTTGTTTTAAAAATTAAAAATTATTTATAATGCGTTGTTTCCTATTTAGGATGTTGAATGCTGTATCTTCTTGAGTCAATGCATCGTTTTGATTGTGTCTCTGTTTTATGACTAGGCAACTCATTCTATTATTGATGGTTATCTTTCTTTATTTTGTAATTACTCTAAAGTCACATGCTTGGCTTAGGCATCTATATTTGTAAGAAATCACCAGCCAATATTGTTGTTGTTGGTGACTTAAAAGCTCATCACACTGAATGGCTTGGCTCTTATGTCAGTAACTCTGCAAGCATTAAGCCCCACACCTTCTGTCTTTCCCAATCTCTAACGCAAATAGTCAACTTTCCTACTCACATTCCAGAAAATCATAATCATTTACCATTTACCTACCTGATCCTTGTCAGTGCTCAGTTTTCCATAATCACCTTTAGGTGCTTCTGATATTGATAAAACTATTCTCTCTAAATCTCTCTAAAACTATTACCTCATTTTTTTTTATTTTCAGAATTCCCTTATTATCAAACCTCTTACAAGTACCCTAAAGCTAACTGGGACTCTTTCTATGATTTTCTATGTGATGGTCCTTGGGTATAAAAGTTGTCCTTGATGGACAGCACTCTACTTCATATCCTGTAACTTCAGGGATTCTTCAAGGTTCTATCCTTTGTTCTATACTTTTTTTAATTTACATTAATGATCTCCCAGATATTCTTGCATCTAAGGCATTGTTTGCTGACGATACTACCATTTACTACCAGTTAATGTTTTGATAAGAAGCCAACACTCTCTGGTTGCTTAGAGAACATTTGAGCTTAAAAAGGATCTCAATTTTGCTACAACATGGGGTTCTCAATGGCTGGTGAATTTTAACTCAGATAAAACTCAATTTTGAGTTAATTGTTATTTTCCAATGTTTATGAATGGTAATGTACTTGATGAGTCGTCTGCCCTTCATCTTCTAGGATTAACTCTTACTGCTGATCTTCCTTGGAAACCATATATCAAATCGATTACAAAATTAGCATATGCTAATTTTGTAATTTGGCAAGCTTGATAAATAGATGGGATGCAAGCCATCTTTTTAACAAGCTTGCCACTTTCTTCCTCAGGATTCTGTTCTTTATCTCTATAAATCTCAAATCTGTCCTTGTATGGAATACTGTTGCTATATTTGGAACAACTCTTACAATGACACCCTTTCTCTTTTAGACAAGGTGCAAAAATGCAATGTTAGCATAGTTGGACCTGCTCTTGCAGCAAACCTCCAACCATAATCACATCATTGTAATGTTAAAATTTCAATAAGTACTATAATGGGCACTGCTCTGAAGAGTGATCATCTTTTGCACCATCTACTAAAATTCATTTGCGTGTTGCTCGTCATTTCATTAAGTTTCATCCTTTTACTGTGACTGTTCCTAAAGTGCTTCAAAAAATCTTATCTGTCTAGTTTTTTTACTTGACATCACTTATTTGGAATTAAGTTAATGTATATATATATATATATATATATATATATATATATATATATATATATATATATATATATATATATATATACATATATATATATATATATATATATATATATATATATATATATATATATATATATATATATATATATATATATATATTAAGCCACTGCCTAGAAGGTGTTTTTTTTGAAAACTGAAAAGAGTCACCCTGGAATTTGTTAATTGCAATATAAATAACAAGAAAAATATAAATTTAACTTTGTTTAATTTATATTCACTTTGGGAAATCGGTTCAAATATATCTTAATTGAATTGAGGGCCGGATTAAGGCATTCTTAGGCCTGGGGCTGTTATTATAGGAGGGCTTAATGTGGCAATGAGGTAAAAATGCCCAGTGTTAGTGAAGCTATACCTGGGGGTCTAGGGGCCAAAAAATTCCTTCCAGGGGGGTTTGTGGGGCAAGCCCCCCAAGTAAATGGTCTTAAATTTATTAGGAGGGGGGGGGTAAAACTTTTATGTAGATCTTTTTGTATAGGTCCACCTTAAATAGATTACTGAATCTCTATTTATTTATTTATTCACAATGCCTCCGAAAGGCTTTGGGGAATTTTTTGTAAGGGCCAGGGGCTGCAGACCCATCCGCCCCCACCTTAATATGGCCCTGATTTAATTTTTAGCCATTTATTACGTTTTTTACAGTCGCTTTATATCTTTCGTAGCTTTGTTATTTTAAAGGAATATTAATTTATCAACACTAAACAACTTGGTCAGAATGTTTTTTATAGCATTTGTCATAGCAAGCTGTTTTAAATTAAATCGCACAGAAAATTGAAAAATTAGATATTCATTTTATAAAATAATCACATTTTTTTACATTTCTCTTATTCTCTTTTCGACTTTGGTTCTTTGCCAAAATGAATTTGTGTCTTTTTTCTAGACCATAAACCTGCTTAGCAGCTTCAGAGGTTAGTTTTACTGCTCTTTCAATGGATTGCGAATTGTTAGAAAAATCAATTAGGCAAAGTTTTTGTCCAGATTCAAATGCCTCTCTAATTTTTTCTGAAGTAATGCTAAGTGTTGCTGGTGGCTCAATTTGAATCTCATCAACTGAAACAAGAAAGTCCCAAGAACCAGCATCAAAATTGATTTTCATTACCGATTTTGGTTTAAGCTGAGTTTTGAAAGTTATGTCTTCTTTTAATTTTCTTATTATAAGAATTTGGTTAAGAACTCGATTTCTTATATGTATATTTTCATCCTGCAGCATGCAGTAAAGAAAATTTTCCTGCAAACAACAGTATGAATTTCCCTGGAGATTGGTAAAAACGATACTTTGAATCCTGCTTTCTTGAAGCTTGACCAACTGAATATTTTTATATAGGAGTAGACAAGCATCTTTGTATTGTCTAGAGTGTTTGATAGCAAACCACATTACACAGTAAACTTGCACAATATACTTAGTTACTGCTAATAGCTCAAGAGATGGCTCTTTAGTCCTAACATATAATATCATAATTCTGAGTGCTAAAGTTAGCCATCTGGCATGGCAAACTGGTCCTGGTTTTTTTGAAACAAACCTTTCAGAAATAAAACCTTTTGAAATACCAACGCAATACTCATAGAGTTTGCGCTGGTCTGTACTAAAATCACTTATAATCTCTTTGTTAACAAATAACTCTATCTCTGACTTTATGGGTACAAATTGAAACAATGGCTGTTCATGAAGTGTTAGGTTAGATGCAGCCTCCCCGATTGGCCCTTTGAAAGAATTAGGACTAACTGTCTTTCCATCTAATTCTGATATGATATGTCGCAGTGGAAGTTCATTCTGATGCAGCAAACATCCTAAAAGGTGTAAGTTTTTGTTTATATTTTTTTCAAGTTTGACAACCAAACCACTATCGCAACCTGTATTTGAACTTGTATTATCTAAAATAACCGCAATTAAACTCTGAACACTGTTAAATTCCAACAAAACATTAGCAGTAGCATTTGCCATGGTTGCACCAATTCCATTAGGTATAACTACATGAGTCAAATAACTTTGTGACGTGTAATATTTACAGCACTCTCTGCTGTAAATATTAGTTGGTATTCTTCTTTGATCGCAGTAACAACAATTGGATCTCCATTACTGTTATACCTGATAGAATGTGTCAATGTAAACTTGTCCTTTTTTCCATCAACTCCAATAACATACATAAATATATATATGTATATATATATATATATATATATATATATATATATATATATATATATATATATATATATATATATATATATATATATATATATATATATATATATATATATATATATTTATATATATATATATATACATATATATATATACATATGTATATATATATATATATATATATATATATATATATATATATATATATATATATATATATATATATATATATATATATATATGTATATATGTATATATGTATATATTGTCCCTTAGCTTACAACACTGCTAAAGTCAAAAATTAGCAGTATTTATATTTTAATGCCTATCAATGGAGCTGCTCATTGCGTATCTAACCACTGGTCACATGATATAGATTTCAGCAAATTCAAAAAGTAGTGTCAGCGCGCAAGTTGGTTGGCCTTGCAACACCGCATAAGTCAGTTTATTTTCTGTCTCCTGTAAAGTTGGTAAAAATGACTTAGGCGGTGTTGTTAGCTAACGGAAAACACATGTTTATGAAGATATAAGACAGTTACCCCTAAACTCTTTTTTAAATGGTAATTTCAAATTTCAGCATTATTTAATATAAAATAAATATGAAAAATAAGTACATGAAATTTTTTAATTTGTTTTTAATTTGTGTTTTACTTAAACATATAAGCAAATGTACCAGCAAGCTACAATTGAGTCGGCTCTACCTGTAAAGGACCAACCAGTACTAAGCACAAATTTTAAAGGTAGCAATTTTTATTTAACTAAAATAACAATGTTTTTTTAATAAAAAGTGTTATAGTTTTAAGATTACATAAATCCATGAATTGTTTTTTTGCAAGGTAAAAAAGTCCATTTCAAACATAGTTGAACCTGCTTTAGCATCCATTATTAGGCATCTGTCACACCATTGAAAGTTTATTATCTTTTTTGTAGTTGGAAATTTCAATTTTGTTGTTAATTAACTTGATTTGCTGTTCTCAACTTAAGACTTATAAACTTCTAACTTTTTTTAACTTTTAAAAAACTTTTAACTTTATCTTACACTAAAATCAGAGTTTTAATGTATTTTATTTTTAATGTGTTTTAATTTTTTACTACGATTGACACTAAGTAGTCTTATCTTCAAGTTAAAAATAAGTGGTTTGAATTCTAATGTCTGTCTAAATAAAATGTAAAATAAATATAAAATTGCTTACTTGAAAAAAATAATTTAACTGAATAAAATAACAGTTTTATTAAAACATATATTAATATTAATCTACATTTTTAATTATACAAATTATTTATATTTTTAAAATATAAGTGAAATAATTGATAAATGTCAAAAATTGACATTACTGATGTCAAAGCTTTTTCTGAGTCATTAGTTAGTCATTAATTATTTCTGAGTCATTAGATTACTCGCTAATTATTTTTGAGTTGTTAATTAGTCAATAATTATTTCTGGTGACTCTGGTACTTTTAAATTTTGGGTAACAAGTTTTGTTCTATAATCAGCTTTTGAAACTTTCTCTAAAGTTTTTTTAAGTATACTGTAAACCATTTTCTTTATAATGATCGTTTTTTTTCTTACTAATCTCAACATAAAAAGTGTCCAGCATCCATATTTAAATAAATTTTTTTATTTTAAAGATCGTGGCTCAATTATTTCTAGTTTATATACCTCTATAAATAAAGTTGAATAGTTTTTTCCTAAATATTTAAAAAGTTGTTGATTGTTTTTAGAAAAGAGAGAAGTGGTAGAAGAAAAAGAGGTATTTTTCTATTTTTATTAAGTTTTAAATAGTCTTGGTTTAGGTTATAAATAAATTTATATATATATATATATATATATATATATATATATATATATATATATATATATATATATATATATATATATATATACATACAGTATTGGACAAAACATTTGCAACCAACATCGAACAATGCTAAAAAGTGTTCCTAATTTTACATGTCTTAAAAACGAAATGAAGTATATGATCACAGCAAACAGTTCAGGAGTCATAACATGCCATGACATGAACAATCAGCTGACAGCACACAGGTAGAATTTCGTTGACAAGTGCCATTTTGCAGCGGACAAAACAAGTGCAACGTTTTTGGTTTGTTTCATTTTCTTAAGTCTGGTCCGTTTCAACGTAACAGAAGTTTTTTAATAATTAAAGGAAGTATCCAGAAGTTTTATAGAAGCATGCAGAAGCTTCCAGAAGTTTCCAGAAGAAGCATCTGGTTCTTTTCCGTCAGTCAGTATATGGAAGTCAATCAGTCAGTATTATCAAGACAGTTTATCGAAGTAAGTTATATCAAAGTGTATTATTGAAGAATATAAATACAAGAAGTGAAATACAACAAGTGTTTTATTACATCAATACAGTTCACATCCAACCAAGACATTGTGTTCAACTGAACATTATTGTATCATCACTAGGTAAATGTAACACGGTAAACCTTGAGAAGCGTGATTGTTTATTTGTAATTTTTTTTATGACTTCAAGTGCAAAAATGGCTTTCGACAGTCTTGGATTGGAACTAAGAAAGAAAATATTATTGGCGATTGCATAAGTGGAATGTCACAAAAAAGTATTTGTGATAAATATTGCGTGAAAAAATTGACTATATCAAGACTATGTTCCAAATATCGTTCTACGGGGAAGTTGGCAGCAGATAACAAAGGTAGAAGACCATGTTCCACCACTTCTAGAGAGAATTCTATGATCATCAGATCTGTCAAGAAGGATCCCTGGATATCATAAGTCGAGATACTAAAGCAATTAGAGCTGTCTGTATCGGACCGAACAATCAGACTACGTGCTGTTGAAGCTGGATTGTTTTCTCTACGCCCTGCAAAGAAACTGCTGATTACACTAAAGAACCAGAAGAAGAGACTCCTGTTTGCTACGTATCATATTGACTGGAATGTGCAGAAATGGTGAATCGTCCTGTTCAGTGATGAATCGAAGTTCAACATCATTGGGAGGGATGGTGTTTGCTATGTAAGTTGACCGGCCAAAAAATGCCTCAATATTTGTTACTGCCATAAGACCGTAAAGCAAGGTGGAGGCAATGTTATGGTCTGGGGGTGTTTTTATGCTAACAGTCTAGGTCCAACACATCGAATTGATAGAATAATGGACCGTTTCATTTATGAAAATATCCTGAAATATGTTATGTTACCTCATGCTGAATGGAATATGCCAATAAAATGGGTTTTTCAGCAAGACAACGATCCGAAACACAATGCAAAAGTGGTTAAGCAGTCGTTTCAAAACAACCATCTATTGGTGATGGATTGGTTGCCTCAATCTCCGGATCTCAACCCTATCAAGAACCTGTGGGAGATCGTCAACCGCAGAATTAATCGTGAAGGTGTTCGTAATAAGGATCAACTGTTTGAACAAATGCAAAAAGCCTGGGCAGCAATTCCACAAAGTTTCATTGATCACCTGATTGAATCTATGCCTCAAAGATGCAAGGCTGTGATCAAAAACAAAGGATTTGCCACAAAATATTGATAGCAAAATACAGCTTGATCAACATTTTGTGGAGTTCCACTTGTCCAAAGGAAACCAACTTTTTTTAATACTTTTGAATAATCTATTAATTTTCGTGTACAATTAAATAATGAACTTTGTGATGAATAAAACTTGAAGAATGTTGTCTCTAAACAGTTACATAGTTATTTCTCTAAATTGAAAAAATGTAGCACTTTTATATGAAGAAACTAAATTAGCATTATTTGGTTGCACTTGTTTTGTCTGATACTGTATATATATATATATATATATATATATATATATATATATATATATATATATATATATATATATATATATATATATATATATATATATATATATATATATATATATATATATTATATATATATATTAGGGTGTTTCAAAAAAATGACTTTTTAAAATTTCAACTAACATTGGTTTTTATATGGTGCCCCACCATATTACTAAAAAAAAAAAAATTCATCACATTTGGACCACTTTATCAGTCCGCGCAATGAGTTCAAAGTTCATTTTTAGGCCGTTTTTGACCCTTTTTTCAGTCAAGTTGCGGGGACCCTTCCCATGCACTAATTTTGAAAAATTAAATTTTTTTGGCAATTTTATGCATAAGAATTAAATTAAAATCCAATAATAAGGTTTAATTATTTGAATAATGGGTCAATTAACTACATTTTTCGAAAATGTTGATTTTTTGCCTTTTTTTGCTCTTTTGTAAGGTCTTTTTCAGTGCCTTCGGTGTTTACAGTCGGACTTAAACGCTTAAAGCAGCTACAGAATAGTCTCAAAAAAGTCGTTGCTAAGGTTGTCCCTCTTTAATGTGACCGTATAAGATTGTCTTTTTTTAATACTTGATGTTTAGCAATCTTATTATAACAGTATTTTCAGTAAATATCTATATTTATTTTATGTCTATATATATGTATATATATATATATACATATATATATATATATATATATATATATATATATATATATATATATATATATATATATATATATATATATATACATATACATGTATATATATATATATATATACATATATATATATATATATATATATATATATATATATATATATATATATATATATATATATATATATATATATATATATATATATATATATATATATTAATTTATTTATATATATATATATATATATATATATAATATGTATATATATATATATATATATACATATATATATATATATATATATATATATATATATATATATATATATATATATATATATATATATATATATATATATATATATATATATATATATATATATATATATATATATATATATTCAGATAGTAAAAAAAAAAAAAAAATTGCCTCCAAATAAAACAACAAAACGTACTAGAAACACATCAGAAATATTTCTTGTGAAGAAAACTAGCGAGACTTTCCTAAGCAATAAGCTTCCAACTGGCAAAGATGTTTTGCAGTATTACCTACATCTTAGAAAGCTAAATCCAAGCGCCAAGCAAATAGATTTAATCAGGTGTTAATTCAAGATGAATTCTTTTGAGCTCCAATGCCCTGTAGAGAACACCCACTGCTGTGTAATGTCTAAATTGGTTGAATTGGTTTGAAAAAAAAATGATAAGATCAGGAAAGATAAGAAGAGGACTTATAAGATAAAAAGAGGAAAGATAAGAAGAGGAGCAAAAGAGGAAGATATTACTTTTATCTTGGATCAGCTGGAAGAACGAAAAGGAATAATTGGAACAAAAGATGAAAGTTTTTCATATGCTGTTGAAAGATCACAGAAGAAGCATTTGACTACCACAAAAAGTGCAGGAGACACTGCAAATGATCTTAACATTTCACACAGCTCTGCAAGTAGTCATGATAGTTGCTCTGACTCAGACTTTGAAACAGGTATTGGCAAAGAAGAATCTGGCTCATCAATTCTCCTTCCAAAAGATATTCTACAGAAAACAGCACTTACTGTTATAGGAGAGGGACTGTCTGCTAGACAGCACACTGAAATTGTGTCCAGTATCATTGCAAACTCTGGAGGTTCTGTTTCAAACTTTGTTGTGTCGAGTACAACATCATTTAGAGCTGTAGAAAAAGTTTTGACCAAAGAAGTAGAGAAGATTAGAAAACAAATTTTTACTCTTGCGCAGTCATCAGTATCCCCAATAATTCTACACTTTGATAGCAAGTTTGTTAAAGAATTCACAGATGGGAAAGAATTGCAACATCACGGACTTGCAGTATTAATTAGGATAAATGGACAGACAGAGCTACTTGGTATTCCACATTTAACTTCAAGTACAGGAGAGGAGCAGAAAACAGCGATCTTGGAACTTCTTAACCAAATTGAGATTACTGACAAGTTTCACGGATGTGTTTTTGATACAACTAATTTTAACACTGGTAAACAGAAAGGAGTATGCATTAAACTAGCTGCAGAGGTTGAAAGGCCTCTACTTCTATTAGCATGCAGACATCATGTGTATAAAAGACACATTGTTCACTGTTGGAACATCTATCCCAGCAGTAACACAAATGGACCAAACAATCCTTTTTTTAAAAGGCTTAAGCTTGTTTGGAACTCTTTGGATCATGATTCTACTGTACTAAACAAAATGAAGATTGAGGATATTACTGACAACTGGTTGCAAGATCAATTCAAAAAAGCTTTGGAGTTCTCTGAAAACATTATAAAGATGGAAAGATGAAGAAGGTCAGTACTTTAAATTATAAATTAATTTTAATGTCATTTAAAGTAGTTTAAACAGCTGTCAAGTAAAAAAAAAAAACTTATTTAATGTGAATAGCTCCTGGCGCTTAGCAAAATAAACAAATTATTAGTATCAGATATCAAACTGAAAATGTAAAGAATGAATCTTAATTTTTTTATGGCTTCTTTAAATGTGAAAATTCAATTTGATTAATTGCTTATTATAAAAATAAGTATTTATATTTAGAATGGATGCAGGTGTGATTATCTTGAGTTAGCCGAACTCACAGTAATGGTGCTATCTGGAGATGTGCAGTACAGACTCCGAAAACCTGGACCTGTAAGTCATGCCCGGTTTTTGATGAAAGGAATATACTTTATGAAGATGTTCTTTCTATTGGATAACATTCCCAATCTCAAGGCCCATGAGAAAAAAGAAATCAAAGATATGGCCTTCTTCACTGCAGTGTTTTACACTGAATGGTTTCTCAGGGCGGAAATTCCAACAGTTGCTCCCTCTCAGGTTTTTTTACTATAATTTTTATTTCCTTATCATTCAAAACGTAACAAAGTTTATATAAAAATTATTCTTTTTAGTATTTTGCTATCTAAAGATTATTTTTTAGGATATGAAAGCTCTGTGGCAGATGATAAGGTACTCTGATGTCAAACCTGAGCAGGCAAAATCTGTTATTGACTCACTGAAGAGACACACCTGGTACATTGATCCTACCGCTGTTGTAATGGCTTTAGCTGATGAGGAGGTCCATGACCGTGGCAAGATTGCTAAGAAGCTGTATTCCATGCCTGAGAATTATGTTGTACAAAGGCAGCAGGTGGATTTTGAATTGCTAAACAATCTGGATTTTTGTCAGGATAATCCTCCTAGCTTGGTTTCACTGATAAATGAACAGAGTTGGTTCATATTTCATCTCTTGAACCATGGGAAGGCAGAGTTACAGTGGTTAAAGACTCCTGTTGAGACATGGAAACTGAATGATTATTATCTGGAGTTTGAACATTTTGTCAAAAATTTGGAAGTAGTTAATGATTGCAGTGAGAGAGCTGTGAAACTCGTTCAGGTACAATTGAAAAAATTATCAAATTTAAACCTATTGTAGAAATTATAAAGGTAATTTCAACAGGCATAACTTATTTTTAACTAGGAGCTGATCAACAAATTCCACAAGGAGAAGAAGAGACAGAACACTTTCCTTGTAGCTAATAAGTTTAAGAGTGGAAGAAAGAGGAAGAAGAAAACTGATTTTGAAAATGTTTCTCTCTAAATATTTGTGCTTTATTTTTTATGTTCTGGTACTTTATTTTTTTATGTTTTGGCATTATTGAAAGATAACAAATGCTAAACGTCAAATATTGAGAAACAAGTCCGACTGTAAACACTGAAGGCGCTGAAAAAGACCTTATCAAAAAACAAAAAAAGGCAAAAAATCAACATTTTCAAAAAATGTAGTTGTTTAATTGACCCATTATTCAAACAAATAAAGCTTAACATTGGACTTTAATTTAATTCTTATGCATAAAATTGCCAAAAAAAATTTAATTTTTCAAAATTGATTCATGGGAAGGGTACCCACAACTTGACTAAAAAAAGGGTCAAAAATGGTCTAAAAATGAACTTTGGACCCATTGCGCGGATATATATATATATATATATATATATATATATATATATATATATATATATATATATATATATATATATATATATATATATATATATATATATATATATATATATATATATATATATATATATATATATATATATATGTATATATATATATATATATATATATATATATATATATGTATATATATATATATATAAATATATTGTTTAAGTGACATCGTTAATAATATACTTTATATTTAATTGATTAAAAACATCATGTTTGGTTATACATTATTTTTATTATTAAATGGTGATGTTTTGGCTTAGATAGTATAAACCATTATCAAACTGAAAACACCGTTATACAAAATTCATAAAAACTAAAAACAAAAATGATGTCATTGCAACATTGCAGATTTAGACTTTAGTTTAACAAAAAGTGATCTCCAATGGCGTGTCATCACTAAGTTACCATTGTCGTGATTTAAGATATACTCCTATGATTTAGAGCACTGTAAGCGTTGTATTTCGATTCCTTCTCGAATCTTTCGCGTATAGTTATTAGGAGTAATAGAAATAATTTTTGGTTTACTAAAGTTAGTTGAACCACAACAATGTTGGGCATGTTCAACTATTCCTGATGCCTCCCAGTTACTTTTAGATATGTAAGCGTTGTATTTCAATTAGGTTAATTTTTTTCCAATTGGAAAGAAATTTTCTTTTTTACTTTCATAATAATAACTTTAAATGAAATTGCAACATATACTTTCTCAGGTTCATTATTAGCTTAATAACGCATCAGACAAGAATTCAAACTTTTATAAACACCTTTTATTTTAGTTAGCTCTTTTAAAATTTTTGTATAATATAAATGAGGTTAAAAAGTTTACTTTATTATTTAAAAAGTTTAATCTAAAAATATTTTGTTATTTTATTAGTATTTAACGCATAATTTTTACACAAACAAAGTTTTTATAATTAATGGTATTTTATATTTAAACGTTTAATAATTAAGTACTAAAAATAAACAATAAAATTAAAAAAAAAAATTATTTGGGTGCACAATAGGCCAGAATTCATTTTTACTGGACCAAACTAATAACTTGTCATATAAAAAAGATTTAAGAATCATTTTTGCAATGTTTACTAATTTGAAGATTGCGGTTTTAATAGTGACATTAGTTTTAATTTTGGGTTGCTATTAATACCTAAATTGCTTAGCTACTACATATTTTATTAACCTTAACAAATACAAACTGGAAAAATTAATAACTTTATTGGATTACTCCCATAATTAACACATTGAGTATATTTATACTGCAAATATAGTGATACTAAGAGTTTTTTATTTGGTTGATAGTGACAACTGAAATGCCTAGCAAAAATTCATTTTGCATAGTTACTAACTTCTTAAAGCATCAGTGTTATAAACTTGACTAATATTATTTAGACAGTTTGATTAAAGATTATTTTGTGCAAATAAAAAATTTAACACACTCACAAGTATTTTTGTGCAGTTCCAGGGCTCTATTTTATATTTCATGAAACTACTACATAATCCATATAAAAGTAAACTAAAGCTTAAACCTTTTTGTGTATATAATAATATAAAAATTTTGATTTAAAATTATTTTTTAAACCAAATTATTTTTTAAACCAAATTCAGATAATTGTAAAACAGCTTTAGCTTCTTTTTTTACCGTCGTGACGTAAACTACAACCTCGTGTAAACAATAGTTCTTCAGATAAACATGATGCAACTAATGGCATCAATCTTCTTTTCTTTATTTTACTACTTAAAGCAAAATTTACCTGGGGGGCCTGCAAGATAATACAGTTGGATAAGAGCAGAGTTTTCTTTATCAATGAAAGCAGTTAGTAAAATTTTCTTATTATCAATTACAAATTGGTACAACTACAAACTGGTATTGGTGTATTTTATAACCATTGTTTGTTATTCTCTTCAAAACAGTTTTTTTAAGATGTATAAATATTAAAACAAGTTTGTAACTAGTCTTGCTGAGACCTAATTATTACATAACCATTTAGAATAAAATATGTTATGTTTTTGCCACATAAAATCAGATACATCATTTATCTTGTGAAAAACATTATTAGAGGCCAGGCGGACATCTGTGGATTATAAACCAAATTTATATTGATAATATACATAATGAATAATGTATTTTAAGTCTCAAGTTACTGGATTGCTTTGGATTGCAAAAGTATTCAAATATATAAGTGAAATTTTAACTAAAAAAAATTTTTAAAATTTGTCATCATTTGAAATCATTTGATTTGACATACAAAAAAAAAAGCTTTTTATTCTACAGCATAATAATGATACAGAAATCTTAGAAAAGATACATCTTAGAAAAGTTGAATATTTAAGCTATAAAATGGTATATAATAGTGTGTTTTTTGAATATGTATTTTTTTACTTTTGTCCACCACCCGCCCCACTGTGGGGTGAGGGGAAATGGTGTAAGTATATGCAAATCGATTCTTATAATTTCAGCAGTACATCACTGTATATTAGGGTGTCCCAAAAGTATGTAGAAAACCTTTTTTTTCCAAACTTTTCTTGTACATCCAAACTTCCTTGTCTATATAAAGGTAGAAGATAAATACATACTAAAAAATAGCACTCAGATCATTTTTAAGTGCTTACTGTAAAATTCCTAAATCTTCCTTTTTTTAGCTAGAAAAGATTAAAATTAAATAACTAACAGTATAATTCTTTTATTCATAAACATATCTTATTACTATTATTATCTGACAGTATAATTCTTTTATTCATAAATATATATCATTATATATTATCATATAGAAAGCTTTAAATTTTCATAAGTTTGTTTTAAGTTACTTTCTTTGTTACTTTTTTTCTCTCCTCTCTCGCTATTAATAGTGTACATTGATGCTGTTCTTCTTTTTAAGAATATTTAAAGAAAGTCATTTATTAATCCAATTTTTCTTCATCTCAGTCATTAGTTACACCAATTCCTTTAACAAAATTTTCAAAAACACTATATGATTCAGTTTTCGAGAAGTTGGAATGAGAATAAACCCAATCATTGACTTGATTCATGATTCCTTGGCATATAAATATAAGCCAGCTATCAACAGTAACATGCTCTGAAAGCTTGCTGTGTGGTAAGATTAAAAAAGGATTAGGTTTTTCCATATTTATTTTTTCTTGCTCGGAACTGGAAAGGAAATTAATGACTTCAAGATCTGATACTTGACAAACATTTCCAAGTGAGAGTTAACAGTGAAAACACAACTACTGGAGAAAGATACCACGAATGTTATAAAATTTTAATCAAAGTATTGCCAACATTTGCATTAAATTCATTCTTGAGAACATAGGCTGCTTTAAATGCATTAAAATCATTAAGAACAGTATGTTGAGTGCTTCTAGACTTGAGGTATCATGGAGTATTACAAACAGTAACAATAAAGGCACACGTTTCAATTTCCTTTTTATTTTCATCAGTTAAAAAGGTTTTTATAGTCGACATCATCTCTAGTGAATATAGAATATAAAAAGAATATAGAAAGCATCAGCCATAAATCTTGCTTCACAACAAGCTTCAGGTTGTTGAATTCTAAATTCATTAAGCTTATCAGATTCGACGCCAAGATAAAAAGTAAAATATTTTACAAGGTGATAATAGTCATTTCTTTCAAAATTTTCATTCTCCAATCAATACTTTGCATAATCTTTAGCTGCTAGTACCAAGATGTAAAGCTTGCTACCTATTTCCAGCTTGTTCCAATCAAATTTTTTTACTTTTGTAGTTCTTGAATTTACAGATTCATGAGAAGTTTTCTAATGTCTTTAGAAAGTTAAATACATAGATTTGCTTGGACCCTTAAATTTAACTTTTGTGATGTATTGTGATGCCTGTATTGCATGAGTTATATGGAGTATATATATTTGGTGATAACACAGAAACCAAAACAAAGTCTTATTAAGAATCCTACTAATTATTATTATAGCTCCATTTAGTCTACCTGTATTACCTGATGTAGTATCAGTACAGACTCTAATTATATTATCAGCTATTTCAAAGTAATCTAAAATGTTTTGAATAGCAATAGCTTGAGCTTTTTCTTTAGTGCTCTCTACAGCTATAATTCCAAGTAGGCGATCATCTTTTGTATTAAATTTTTTTGACGCATTACCTTTGTTTGAGTTGGAAGCTGATTTTCATCGCTTTCTGGAAAATCGAAATCACTATCACTAGCAACTGAAGATAGATGAGCCGCAGAACCTAAGTAACAAAAGCGTTAATGACTAAATAAGTGAATAAAAGTTTAAATTAAACCACTATTAAAAATAATTATTTGAAAATTTTTGAATTAAAGATAGTTTACCTGATCCTTCAGATTCACCTGAGTCACGAGAGATCACTTTATCCATTTCTAAATCAATTTTGCAATCCAATTTAAAACTTTCATTAACTCTTCATTTTTCTTCATAAGATCTTATTCTTCGATTCCTTTTAAGTCTCTTTTTAACTCTTTATTTCATATCAATATCATACTTTTCACTCATCACACATCTCCTCAATGTTCTTTGATCTTGAAGAAAAGCCAAATCCTTTACCACTGCAGCATTCAATCTTGGCATATGTTTATCTGATTTTATTTTTGCTTTTATGTTTTTTTGAGAAACAAATTTTCAAGAAATTCTTCAAACTGATTCTCGTGTTTATTTTTGGTAATTGTGTTCCAAACTAAATAACTTGTATTTCACATTGAAATGTACAATTTATTTAGTTTAATAAATTTTTGCACAATTTGTACTTCAAAAATAATATAGTTTCCAAAGCCAGCATATTTTTCTAAAGCAGCATCTCCATAATTTTACAACAGAAATCTTTGTCATGGCAAACCATATCCCTATTCCCACTCTTTGTTTTGCATGAAAAATTTTTCTTGAGCAGACTTGAACCTTTTTCTTTTTTCTTTAATAACATACTAATAATATCGTTGAACTGTTCCATTTGTTGGAAGTTGATGTTGAAGAATAACAGATATTGGATTTCTGAGAAGACAAAGCGTGGATTTTGGCTATTTGTAGTGAATTTAAACCACTCGTGGGTTTAAATAAACATTAAAGTTCAATTTTTTTATTTTATTGATCTTTCTTTACCTCATTTGTGATAAAAAATTGTTATAAGTATTTATTTTTTTATAATTTTTAAAAACTAAACATCCCAGAAGATTCTTTTGTCAAGAGTAACAATTCGATTAGTTTTTTTATCAGAAATATACGATTGGTTTAAGTTTGTTTATGTTTTCTAAAAAGATAATAAAGATTGCTGCTTTAAAAGTTGATATTTTAAATAAGACAAAATTGGACAAAATTGATATTTTAAATAAGACAAAATATTCAAAAATCAACAATTAAAAATAGCTGTTAGTCCAAAAAAAAACAAAAAAAAACAATCAGTACCCAAACTATTGATGTTTTAAAAACACATCATTATATATTGTTTTTAAAATTTCCTAATATTTAGAACAGTGATCCAAAAGTTTGTTAATATACTACGAGTTGATCAGTTACCACTCACATCCTAATACAAAGCTAACAGCTTTTTTTAAAAAAAAGATTACATATGTCTTTTAAACTATGAAAAACAACAGCCATTAGAATTGTTAAAAGAGTAAGTTTTTGTTTAGATGTAGCGGAAATATTTAAGTTAAGAAAAGCTCAGAACATTTAATTAAATCCAATTTTTTAATTTCTACAGTAAGCACTTGGAGTGGTCTTATAAATCTTTTTTCAATATTAGCGGTCTTCTATAAGTGTATAGACAAAGAATTTGATGTGTACCATTATTATTTTTTTTCATATTTTTGGTACACCCTACTGTATATAGTTGTAACATAGTTAATAATGTAAAATGTATGTTTATGACATATTAAGAAATTTTTAACATATGTTTTTTAAAAGTCGCAAATGTATTTAACTATTTAACAAATAAACTTAATTATTTCATCTTTTTTATTTTAACAAATTAATTTAGCTAAATAATGTTTGTGAAAGTTTTCAACAACTTGAACTTCCTAACAATGAAACTTCACTACATACAATGGTGCAGCAAAAAAACTTATCATCCTGTATAGAATTGATTTATAATGGTGCTGATATTAATGCCAAAGATCAAAATGGTGTAACTCCATTACATCTTGCTGTGTTGGTAAGTTTTTTTATTTATGGTTTTTTTTGGCTATATAATAATTATATATTATGTGGCCAAAGTGGTTAGTATGCTGTGCTTCTGAAGTTATTTGCTTGAATTTATTATCTTTTACTTGCACATTTAATTATTTTTTTAAAAATCTTTTCCAATTTTCTAAAATACAAAATAAAACATTTTTAAATTTCTATAGATATTACATACATAAACTGTATAAAGATAATATTAGATACTATAGCAAACAAAAAAAAGAGATTTTTTAAAAAAGCCTAAAGTTCCTAAAAACATCAAAACAACAGGAAAAAAATTGTCATGGTAAAAATACTAAAGTTATTAATGTACTTAGATTATTAGTTATATCTATGCGTTTAACACACATTAAAGAGACAACTTTCTTTTTTATAGGAAATAAGATTTACAATCAAACATATAGAAATAGTCAGTGTAGAATAGACTTACCAAGACCTATATTTTATGGGTCCAGACAGCTAGTTATTATTATTGTTATTATTATTACTGTTTATTAAAAAAAATTCAACAGATAATAAAAATTGTTAAAAAAAAAAAAAGTAAAAATAATAAAAGTAATAAGCAAAAACTAAATGACATAATGTTCTCCAAACACTGCAGACCAAAACAAATTATTTGAACTGCAATACTGCATAAAAATTAATATTATTTGCAGAAATATAGCAAGAAAACAAAAGAAAGTAAGAGAAGGATCCAAGTCGAATGGAACATATATTACCTAGAACACAGTCTAGAGTTGCTAGATGTCAAATTGGTTACAATTGGTAACAAAGTTATACACTTTTTATTTATTACTAAATAAACTTTAGTGAAAATAAGGAGTTATTTGTTTACCATTACCATTGTCGTACTGCTGTTGTTTTTTTATATAATCAACTTATATAGAAATAAATGTTTTAAAGAACTAACCATAACTTATATATTTAATAAAAAATTCAAGGGCCCCAAGTTTTGGGGCCCTTGAATTTTTTGTCAAATACATAAGTTATGATTAGTTTTTTAAAAACTAATAGCAACCTACATATTTCTATGTGCATTTATGTAACTTTTTATTAATGAAATTTAAGTTTTTTGAAAAAAGTTTCTTTTTTTTTATCTTACCAATAATTTTTATATATAAAATGAATAAATAAGTAAATATTTGCATAAAAACTAATTTTTATTAAAATTTTTATTAAAATCTTATTTCTGCACTTTTCTCTTTAGAAGTCGTCAATTAAAGATCTATGTCAAGTGTTTTTAATATATCAACATTGTTGATACATTAAAATCACTTGAAATTTGAATTATTTAAATTGTCTTTTGTCATTATTGACCTTAAATAGCTCTTAAATAACTTTAGTTTTGAAAAGCTTTTTTCACAAGAGCAATTATTAATCATCAAGCATACAAAAATTCTCAAAACTGTCTCTAAAGGTTAGGAAATGTTAATTTTTTTTCTATATAATCAACTTATATAGAAATGTGTCAAAGAAGTTTCTAGATAATTACTTTTTTATGAGATTGTGGCTTTACAAAACTTTATGAAATTTTGAATCAAATTTAGAGAATGTCCTGCACATTGTAAAAATTATGCCCGGCTATTTTTTCAAAAATATTTTTCTGCATACCCGTATAATTTCCACTTATGTTAGAAGCATTACTGTATGATTGAGATATGGAGTCTAAAAAGTTTAAGCCAACTTTATTCATAAAAATATTGACTGTTGTATCAGCTAAATTTGATTGTGATCCTCAATATTGATAAAGCATAAAAATATTTCTATAAACTTCGTTGTATCAATATATATAAGAACTACAGAAAGTTGATCTGTGTGCAATTTAAATGAGCCTTTAAAACTTCTTTATGATTTTTCATGACTTTTTAATAACAACACAACATTTTTTCAGTCATTCAAGTCATTAGTTGCAAGGCAGTAATTGGAAATCCTAAAAACTTTACACACAAAGTAAAAAACACTTTCTTTTGAGGCGAATATATTAGCTCTTCTAAAGGTGTCAAATATAAAAAAGTTGATGTTGCTACTTTTTTGGTTTAGATACCACTTTTGCAAAAAATGCATCAAGTTTGTAACTTTTTTATCTTCTTGATCCATCTCTGCTTTTCTTTTACGTTTTTCTTAATTATTCTAAAAAAAATATTAAAAAAAAAAATCTTAAAAAAACTTTTGTAAAATTGGTATATCTACTTGTTTAATTCCACAAAGCAAGAAAACACTTTAGTGACACTATTTATTTGAAATTCAAAGTTATTGTATCATAAATGTTTCAAAATAAAAACTTCTTTTAATGCATGAAAAATATAATAAACAAAAGAAAGAATTCAACTCGATTAAAAAACAACCTCGATCAATGCTCTCAAATGTTTTGTAAAAACATAAGCATAACTTAATAACTTAAGTATGTTTTTTTTATTATTTGGTTTTTAAAGTAAAACGCACATTTTGAGGCATTCTCGTGTTCTACATTCAACATTTATATGAAATTTTAATTTGAATTTTATTATTAATACATTTTCAACCAATAAGGGTAATAGAAACTAGCACTTGTTACCATGGTGACAATGCAAAGCATTGTCACCAGTTAACTGAACTACACTTTATGTTGATTTTTAAATCCTTGTTTTTATTTGATTCTATATAAAAGGTTTAGAAATAATAAATTTGAAATAAATTTTTACTAATTGAAAACATGTTTGAGTATTTGGTTATATATATTTAACCAATTACTCATACATTTGCCAGTAATGAAATTATTTGCTGGTTGTAGTTGCTGCAGCTTGGTGTAATTCTTTTGGAATTGCTCACACAAAAACTTCATATCATCTTGCCGTACCACTGCTAGAATGCTATACTTGAGGTTGACTGTTTAAAATGAAAGGGAGTTAAGTTGCACATAATTAACAAAAAGTAAACCCCATTAACTCCTATCTATCAAAGAAAATCTAAAAAACCCTACCTATCAAAGATAATTCAAAAAACCCTACCTATCAAAGAAAATCCAAAAAACTAACAAAATCCGGAAATTTATTTTTTGAGTTGATTTGAGTAGATACGATTATAAAGTTATTTAATCGATTATTAAAGTTATTTACGATTATAAAATACGATTTAAGCTCTTTTTTTAAATACACTACAACACCATCTTTTGTTCAAGTACTTTTTTTTTGTGTCACAAATAATTTTTTATATTATAATTTTTTATATTATCCGATATATCAAGTTAATTTAACAAATTATTCAATACTGAAACAATCGTTTTTTAAAAGCAAGGATGTCAATTTTTTAAACTCTTATTTAACATATCCTACTTTTATATTAACTGGAAATTATTTTTTAAAACCTTTTTTCCTCAGCTCTAAATCATTATTAATTGTAATAAAAATAAGATTTCATTACATTTGCTGATATTGAAGCTTCTGTTTCTTTTTTTTTTTTCTGTTATATTTATTTTCCAAGTTTTTAACTGTTCTTAAAACTGATTTACTATTATGGCTGGAAAAATTTAAGTTTGGTTCATAATGAAATTTATATGGGGGCAATAAATTTCCATCTTTTATAAACAGATTTTTCTAAAAGGGCATGTTGTTTTGTGGTTCTAATATTTTATTGATTTCTATTCTGAAATACATAAAAATGGATATGCATTTATACTTTAAAATAAGTTAAAGTTATAGAGTAACTTACTTTTTCAGCATCATATATTTATTAACTGTTCATTCATTTCTCAAGCATCAGCTTTTGAATATTTTGTCAAGAGAACAATTTCAAGATGTGGCTTTTAGTAAACATGAAAGGTAAAGTTTTGGAGGTTTTGTTAATGTGTGAGAAAAAAATTTAGATTAAAAAAATTTTTGAAAGATGAAGGGACAGATACATTAAAGAGATGCAACTTTGGTGAATGACAAGCCAAGTGAAAATGAGTTTGGATTATCAAAATTGTGTAGAAAAAAAAAAGGTCTTTTGAAATTTAATGCGAGCGTACAAAAAATTGCTGGCAAGATAGTCATTTTTAAGTTAGTCTGCGCAATTTTAAAAATTCAATTTTTTCTGCTATTTAAATTAAATTAAATTAACAAGAAGAATGTTTTGAATAGAAACAATAGAAATATTTATAATAGAATTTTATAGAATATTATAATTTTTATAGAATATTATAATAGAATTTTTATAATAGAAATAAAATAGTTAAACAAATAAACTGGTAAAAAAGCCATTGTTCATAAAAATTGAACAAACGAACCAAAACGTTTTGTTGCAATTTAAAATAAACCGCTTTTATTTTTTTTGGCAAGCGCTTTTTTAAGCGCTCACCAAAGTTTTTGCAAGCGTGTGGGCAAGCACAAAAGTGCTGGCTAAATAGAGAAGACTGCTACACATATGATATTGAGAGGGTTGTTATTTATCAATATAAGAATGTTAACAATATTGCTATAGTTGTTTTGTTGCTATAGTTGCTATAGTCGTTTGCAGCAAATAACTTTGTTGACTTTAATGCTTTAATACTGCAGTTAGAAAGAAATCATTCAACACTTTTATATGATCTTAAAACTTTTAAATACAGAAACTAATTATAGAGAAAAGATTAATCATAGAATAGTTAGAGAGGTTAGAATATTTTCTATTAAATGAAGTGAGATTTCAGAACACTTTTGTAAACTATAATGGTAATTTTGTCTGAACAACTAGTCATAGAAGGATTGACTTTTGTATTCAAAGCCGTAGTAATTTTTATATACAACAATAGATTAAATAATGAGTCAAATTAAAAGAAAAAGTTCTTTACAAATAGCTCTGCTTTATTCAAGGGAAAATTAGTAAGATCAGACTCTGAATTAGAGATGGAATGTTGGACTTACTTTAGTTAATAAAAACTTTTAGTTAAAGACTTTCCAAAAGTCTCCATGACCTAACACCTGTGGTAAGATTTAGTAAACTAAGAATAACAGAGCTAAGCATCAGACAGGAAATTTTTACATTGAATTTTTGCAATAACAAAACAAATTGTACATTATATGGATATACACAGTATTGGACTAAACATTTGCAACTAACATTAAACAATGCTAAAAAGTGTTCCTAATTTTACATGTCTTAAAAATGAAACAAACTGTACTACCACAGCAAACAGTTCAGGAGTCTGGAGTCATAGCATGCCATGACACGAGCAATCAGCTGACAGGTGACAACACACAGGTAGAATTTTGTTGACAAGTGCCAATTTTCAGCAAACAAAACAAGTACAACTTTTTTGGTTTGTTTCATTTTCTTAAGTCTGGTCCGTGTCAACGTCACGGAAGTTTTTTAATAACTAAAGGAAATACCCAGAAGTTTCCAAAAGTTTCCAGAAGCATGCAGAAGCTTCCAGAAGTTTCCAGAAGAAGCATCTGGAAGCATCCAGAAGTATCCAGAAACATGCAGAACCATTCAGATGAATCCAGAAGTTTCCAGAAGAATCAAAAAGAAGCATCTAGAATCTTCCAGAACAGGTTCACACAGGTTCATTTTACTATATAAGAAACATGTAAACCAACACATAATTCAATCAGTATATGGAAGTCAATCAGTCAGTATTATGAAGACAGTTTATCGAAGTGAGTTTTATCAAAGTGTATTATCAAAGAACATCAATACAAGAAGTGAAATACAACAAGTGTTTCATTACATCAATACAGTTCACATCCAACCAAGACGTTGTGTTCCACAGAGCATTATTGTATTATCACAAGGTAAATATAACACGGTAAGTCTTG